AAACAGGACAAGTAAAATTTATACATAATAGTCTTTATAAGGAAAAAGCCCAATACCATAACTGTGTACTTACAAAATGGAGATAGCATATATACAATAACTGACATTCAGCTTCAGTAAATGATTGAAATTGTAACAAATTTTAATTTTTTTTACCTGACTGATAAAGATTAAAGACATAATGTTTTTGCTGGGACTTTGAGTAAACTGACATACCCACAAGCAGCTGGTGGGTACATAATACAAAGTTCCTACAGAGTATTTTGTAATTTCAGAATTTTAAATACACAAATTTTGAATATAGTAGCGATTATACTTCCGGGAACTTTTCTTACAGAAATATTCAAAGATTCAAAGAGGTATATAGAAAGGATGTTCAACTACAGTACTGTGGGCAACTAAAAAACAAAAACTAGATGTACACACATGTATATACAGAGCAATAGATTGAGTACCAAATATATACATTTTTTTTAAACAAGAAAATCTTGACATAACTTAAGTGACAAGCCAAAACGGCAAACGTTGAATCTGTCCAGTAATTCCTAAAAACATACATTATCTACTCATATATTTCACAAAAAACAAAAAGCAAGAGGACTTGGACTGCAAGGACTTGCCTTCTGTTCTAGGGGTTTCTGTACTGTGACTTCCTCAGTGACCTCTGAATTGGGTAAGATAAAACTCTTAGGCAAGTTTTACTAACCCAATATGCACGAGCCATTGCAAAACTGCCTCATCAGTTGCCAGAGCAGACTGTGAAGTTTGCCTAATCTTCCAAAAATGTTATATTTAGACACTGTTTAAACATTCATTTTTTAGACTTACAGTATCTAATCTTAAATTTATAATCATAATCCTAAGTACATGAAATACATACTTAATATGTAACACATAGGTTTAAACCAAACATTCTAAGTGACCTTTTTTTCCTTTTTGTAAAGATTTTTTTTTTTATTGGAAAGGCAGATTTACAGAAAGAAGGATATACAGAAAGTTCCTACATCCGCTGGGTCACTCTCCAAGTGGCCATAAAGGCCGGAGCTGAGCCAATCCAAAGCCAGGAACCAGGAACTTCTGGGTCTCCCATTGGGTGCAGGGTCCCAAGGCCTTGGCCGTCCTCTGCTGCTTTCTCAGGCCACAGGCAGGGAGCTGGACGGGAAGTAGAACAACTGGGACACGAATCAGTGCCCACATGCAAGGCACCCACATGCAAGGCGAGGACTTTAGCCACTAGGCTACCGTGCTGGCCAGAGCTTTCTTTTTTTAATCTGACCATTTAGAAAAGCAAAACTCCTTTGCAGTCATTTAAGAAACGGTATGTCTTTTCAGCCTAAGCAAAGCAAGCATGCAAAGATCCTACAGGTGGGAAGGGTTCCGAGTGAATACCAGACTCAACTCCAAGTAGATACCAACAAACGGTTAAGAAAGGAAAGCAGTTAAATAGCTGCCTGGAACTACCGCATCCCTTGTCAGGGTGTGGTTCAAGTCCAAGCTTGACTCCTGATTCGTGTTTGCCCAGGGGGAGCAGGGGAGGCCTCAACGAAGCTCTCGGCTCCTAGCCGCAGCCTCAAGCACCCCAGGTAATGTGCCAGCAGGTGGAAGATGTCTCTGTTCCTTTGTCTCTCCAAGTGTGTCAATTAAATACAGGACAGATATCCTAAAGGAGTCACAGAAAGCCAGGTCCTTGAGGAACCAAGGGAGGATGGACATGTTCAGACCGAAAACAAAACACACATGAAAACAATGCCCTAATTCTATGCCATATCTGCTGAACACTCATCAAGATGTAAACCTAGAGATCTTTTAATTCTTAAATTTACAAAGTTAATATTAAAGAGCACTAAATTTTCACCGGATACGCAAAATTTTCTTTCTTTGTAAATAGCAACTGGATTCATACAATTAACTGAGGAAATTGTGTTACCGGGCCAATAAATAATGCAATCGAGAGGTGACATGTAAGCCAGGCACGCTTTTCTAACAACAATGGCATGTTCACGGTGCCAGTATATGAAAGAACTTCTCTTTTGGTAGAACCCTCTCCAAGAAAGAAATCATTTGCAAACAGCAAATGATACGCAGTGAACTTAAACTCATTTAAAATATTACTAGGAAGAACAAGAGAAGCTGTGCTAAGTTTCTCTTGCCCAATTGTAAAACAACCACATTTTATGGCAAAAGGGTTTATCTTATGTATTTGCTGAATGATAGTTTAAAGTTGGTACTCTTACCTGGATTAACCAGAAAGCAAAAGTAAATCAGTTACTATCAGAGGCACTTTTTTTTAAATAAAAACTAGGAACTCATGCTATACTAAAACTTTAGGGCAAGAGAGGCAACGTTCTGTAATCTAACCAAAAATATATACTCAAAAGAATGTGTTAATAATACATGAAGAAAACAATCCACTCAAGGGCTGTGGGGTGGTGGGCAGAGCCACCAGCTACAGTGCCAGCATGCCCTAGGGGCATGAATTCAAGTCCTGACTGCTCCACCTGTGACTCAGCTCCCTACTGCTGTCCGGGAAAGCAGCAGAGGATGGCCTGACCACTTAGGCCACCGAGTCCTGGTGGAAAACCCAGGGGAAGCTCCTGGCTCCTGGTCAGCATGGCTCCACCCCTTCAGGACATTCGAAGAACGGACTGGCAGATGGAAGATCTCTTTGTGCCTTTCCCTTCTTGTAATTCTGCTTTTCAGATAGTTAAATAAATCTTCAGAAAGAAGAAGATGCACTAAACATGCAGTCCCTAAGTTAATCTGTGGAGCTCTTTGACCTGTAGTTACTTCATTGTACACTGTCACATTCCTTACTGAAATTAACCACACAGGCTCCCGCAGCAGAACTACCGAAGTGGTGTCTAAGATTTGACTGAAGACCTCAAATTTGTCACTGATGCAGCACACCGCAGGGAACTCAAGCTGAAAATGTCACCATTTACAATACAATTAGCTACAAAAAGCTAATGAAAACAATGCTATATGGCACTTCAGTGTTGAATGCTATTGACTTTCTAGGCCTCATCAACACTGCAGTCTGAAATGCTGCCAGCAAAACCACTAGGAAAGCCTTGGTAAAACGTGCTCACTTTTTTCCTTCCTGCTTGACCTACCTCAGACTCCCAAGTTTCAAAATAAATGAGGGAAATTTTAGATGGAAATGCTCAAACCAGAGAGACAATAAACAGGTGTTTATTCTCATCTGAGAAGTTAGATTAGAAGAGCACTAAAGTTCTTTCCAGTCTTAAAACTTGGGATTTATTGAAATAATTAGCAAAAACATGATCCCAAACCTTAGAAAGCCTGTTTCCAAAAGGTGGTGGTGATTTTTAAAAAGAAACGTCAATAAAAGATTAATCATTTCAAGTAGAATTTGCTATCAACAATGATGCAAACATCTAAAGATCTTGATCCCAAACTTCTATTTCAATGAAGTTCAATTACTAAGGTGGAGGACAACTCTCCCTGCCCACCCTTCCCCGGAATTCTGAGAAACTCCTTCTCCTAAACCATGTCAGGCACCGCGGAAACCCAAAGCACAGGAAACAATTGTATTAAGTATGCTGAGTTGCTTTCCATTCCTCATACAAACTCCCCCCGCCAAAAAAATGGGTATCTATGTTCAACTCTGCCAAAATTAAAATTCAATGAGTAAACAGCCAAACTATCCTCTTAAATTTAATGAAAAATTATGAGAAATTTCAGTTGTACAAAAACAGTATGCTCTACTCTCTAGCTTGAGCAAAGAGCATTCTCCCCAGACCACACCTGACCATGGGAGCAAGCTGCCCAAACCAATGCCCAGGACCTTTGCCTGGGGAAAAAAACACCTTGAAGACTAAATGCCAGAAATTTGCGATTAATTTTTATATGAATCTAACTTGGACTTTTGGTAGCACTGTAACATTTGCAAAGGGAATTTACTTCTTCAAACTACCAAGATTTATTCCTCAGGATAGAAAAATAAGGCTCCTTTTTGCTTTACCTTGAAACTCCAAAAGCTTACCAGACAATATTTCAAAGCCTTGTTCCTACCGCCCTTAACAGATGTTTGGATAAGCAGAACAAGTTCCTTTCGCATTCAGTATTGTATTAATAAAAACTAGTTTGCCTCTAACAGCTAGGCTCTCTGTGCACCAGAAAATGAGGAAGGTGCAAGCATGTAACACACTAGAAGTCAAAACCTTAATGAGTTGTCATCTGACAAAATGCACAAATGACGGAGAATCATTCCAATCACGTGTCACCACCAAGGCTCCTGAAATCAGAGGATCAAGTTGTAGCCCCAACGATATCATGAAGTTTTTGGAGCTAGTGTGTCATACCATCTTGACATGCCTCATAAGAGCAGATATTATTGTAAAAACGCTATATAAAATTTTAGAAAAAAGCTCCAGTGTTTAGATCTTCCCCAAATTTAGGACCCATTTACAAGGTATAATCAACACAGTTTAATTTTAACTCTAAATCCCTTTTCCCCTTTTTGCTTCAGCTCCTATTTGAAGATCCTACAGCATGATTTTCCAGATAACACAGGCACTCCACAGAAATGCCTAAACTAGAACTCTGTTGGCAACTTAAAGACAGTTTAGGCTTCTGTCATTGTCACAGAGTAGGAATCCTAGGTGAGTCTCCTGGCTTCAGAGGGAATCGGCTCTGGCCGTTGCGGCCAACTGGGGAGCTGGGGTTGGGGCGGGGAGAGCTTTCCCTCTTCCCGTTTCTCCTTCTCTCTGTAAATCTTTCAAACAAGAATAAATAAACCTTTTCAAGAAAAAAAAAGTACATGACAAATCAACATTTAGAAAATCTAGAAAGTTACCTAGGAATCCTAAGCACTTAAAACTCTTCAGAAATAGTTAGGAATACGATCTAAGACAAGCATGAACAGTTACACATTAACAAGAAACAGCAATAAAAACATGAGCATCCTGAAGTCGATGACTTTCAACAACAAAGACCAGTATGTCTCATAACCACAACAACATGTCATGTTGACCAACCTCCCTAGTCCCGCGCAATGAGCTCACGGAAGTCATGATGTGCACAGGTTGTATCCTTCGCTGCTTCCATTCTTGGTTTAAGATTTCTGTTCTTTCCAAAATTTTCTGACGATTGGAACTAAACATACTCTTTAAGAAAATGAAGGACAGGAAAACAAAATAAATTGCTCATTATTAGAAAACCTGTAACATTTCTAAACCAGGTTATAATCTAGTCATTTCTCACAAACATCAACATTTCTTCAAATGCTGATTTAATACTACACTGCAGCTTCCCAGTCAACACATGTGCACACATACGTGCACACACACATACACACGTGCACACACACACCATACCTATCATTCGACTGTGAAAAGATTATTTCCATTCTTTGTTAGCTTTGTACAAAAAACAAAAATACTTTAGAAATCTAAAATCATGAGCAATTCATTTGCATATGCATCCACTTCTATATATGTGATATGAAAGCACACTGCAAAGACAAAGTTCCCAGCAGGCTGATGGGCATGAGATTAAAACCTCCTATCACTAATGCGCATGCTACATGCTAACTGAGGCACACTGATGACCTCGGCGTCCAAGTTCTCACTGATCTTACTACAAATATAACCTTAACTGAAAATACATCATTTCAAAATAAAAAGTGTTTACCTTTACTGAAACCCCTCCCCAAGTTTTAGTTGCATGTGCATTCTGACAAGACACAGGACAATACCTTGACCTCATCGGCTCGGCGGAATCTCTTGAGCTGTCGCAGTCGCATGTACTCGGATTTTACACGCTTCCGCCAACACACTGGCCCCTTGTCACATTTCTTTCCAGTCTGGCCCATGGTTATTCTAAAAGCAATAGATCCACATCAAAATCACTAATATAATCAACCCAAGAAGCTGAAAGAAATCAAAGAAATTACATTTTTACACTTGAAATTACATTTCACAGTTTGCAAAAGGTGCTTATTTGTTCTGTGTGATTAAATTCTTGAAGCATTTAATTGAAAATTTTTTTTTCCCACACAATCTTTAGGAAATATTTATTTAGACAGCCTCTACACTTCTAAATAACTCCTATCTAATGGATATGCGATCTCACGGCAGGGACAGAAACTGTACCAATTAGCATTTGCACGAGATAAAATTTATACAGGAAAACAAATGTACAAACAGTGCTTTTATCATTAAACTAACTGTAATGGAAGCAAGATATAGATAACATTGGTATTCCACATCCCCACATTTTAGTCCAATCACAGATTGGAAACATTCAGAAAACAGAACGACAAAATTGGAACGTGCTGTCTGTGGAGCACTGCGAGCACACGGGCAGTCACGTGCACACACCTTGCTGGGGCCTGCTGCACGTCACACTGCCTCGCTGCAGCACTAGTGCTCGGGCGCTGTTCGCCTTGCACACAGATGAACATCAGCGCTTCGTGTCCCACTTCCTAAGCAACTGTTTATATAGCATTTACACTGCCAAATATTACATGTAATCTAAAGACCATTTAAAGTGGGTCCAGCACAGCAGCCTACCAGCTGAAGTCCTCGCCATACACACACTGGGATCCCATATGGGTACCAGTTCTAATCCCGGCAGCCCCGCATCCCATCCAGCTCCCTTGCCTGTGGCCTGGGACTCTGCACCTGTGTGGGAAACCCAAAAGAAACTTCCTGGCTCCCGGCTTCAGATCAGCTCAGCTTCAGCCACTGTGGCCGTATGGGGAGTGAGCCAGAGAATGGATGGTCTTTGTCTCTCCTTCTCTGTAAATCCACCCTTACAATTAAAAAAAAAAAAAAAAAAGAGGGGGGAAAGAAGAAAGAAAGGGAGAGAGGGAGGAAAGGAGGGAAAAAAGTGAAAGAAAAAAAAAACACTCAGAGCCATGAAGAAACAAGAGCAGAGGTGGGGTAGCCCGGAAGTAACTGGGCTGCACCAGGTGAGCCAGGGGTAGCCTGGCAGTAACTGGGCTGCACCAGGTTGAGATGCCCTGAAGTGTCCTCTCAGCCAGAGATGACAGCGGCTGCTGAGACTGCTCTGGTGTGGAAAAGGAAAATGAATTCAGGAGCTCCTTCGCAAGTCCCTTAGCCAAATAAAGCTTAAATATGGCAAATGCAGACAGATGTTTGCTGCAGCTATATTCACAACAGAGTGCCTCAGTTCTAGTCCCAGCTCTGCCTCCGATTCAAGCTTGCCATGAACGGACCTTGGAAGAAAGCAAGGATTACTCACTAGGATAATAAGATGCTGGACTTTGTGCTTGGTAAATACTTCCAATGAAAGAACCTCAACTGAATTTGAACTGTGGTAATGCAGCAAGGTGGAGAAATCCACCATGGGGAGAGGGTTCGGGGAGGGGTGGGGGGAATCCCAGTGCCTATAACACTGTGTCACATAATGCAAAGCAATTAATAAAAAAAAAAAGAGAGAGAGAGAAGAAAAGAAAGCAAGGATTGATAGTGCAAGCATTTGAGTCCATGTCATTCAGAGACCGGATTAAACTGCTGTGGGCATGTGGGAAAGGAACCAAGAGGCACAAGACCTCTATTTCACCGTCTCTGTGTTTCAAATAAATAAAATAAAATAATTTTAAATATATAGGAAGTGATGGTAAAGTCAACTTTCTGGGTTAAATAACCCAACCTAGTGAGTACCTTTCTACACAATACTCAATCACCAACCAGCAACACAGAAACCCTGATATCATCACTGATTCAGAGCCGAAAAGGGGGCAAAGCAATTTATTTTCCCAAGTATGCAGCAAATATTATGTACCAGGAAGTGAGTAAAGTTGTATAAAATTATCCCCAGCCGTAGGCAACGCCTAGGTTGCCCTGTACCTCAGCAAGTGTTTTACACTGCTGGGGGAAAAGCAACTAACAGCTTCAGGGCATCCTGGGTCTGGTTAATGCCAAATGTATGTTAACTACACCACTGTATCAGCAGTCACCTGTTCTGTATTTTTACAAAACGTATGTGAGGGACAGATGCTGACACACCAATAATCAGAGTGTGGGGACCTGCCCAAGAGTGTGTGTGGACCCCAGGCAGGCAGGCAGGAGCCCCAGACTGGCATGGCACACCGCCAGAGGACTGGGTCTGGGAGACTATGGATTGCTCATGGAAGCAGGTCTGGAGATGTGTGGGAGGGAGGACTGCTGAGGGAGAGCACGACAAGTGAGGAGTAATTTCTGGGGGACTTCCACCAACCGGGCTACTGCACTTACATGAGGGGACCGAGACCAGGTGGTTTAGAGAGGGAAATCAGAAAACCTTTTTGAGACAAACCAATATATCCCCCCCACCCCACGTGAGAAAACTGAGCTGGGACTGGTGGGATCAACCACTGCCTACCAGTGCATGTATGAGCCATGGCTGGGGGACCTGCCCGGTAGGGCTCAACCACAATACCCACCAGTGTGTGTTGGGGTAGGAGGTAGAACAGGTTAGGCTGGGCCATGACACTAGTCACTCACAAGAGTACTGGGTCTGGGAGCACATTCTGTGGGGGTACATGGGCTCACCCCTGTGGGACTGCCATACCAGCTGGTTTGTCGAAGGCTGGGGGTGGTGACAGGTGAGAGCTAGGTATGACCATGGAACTCAACAATACTCCTGGGTACTGGGGTTGAGAACAGGTCAGACTAGGTTGGTCCAGGCTGTAGCACCTGCAGGCACACCCAAGAATTGGGAGAGGGGTGGGTTGGGCCAAAACATCCACCAGCACACACAAATGACGAGAGTGTACAGCAGACTGTCAGGTAAGGGCCTAGCATCTGCTGAAGTATGTGAGACATGGGTCTGGGAGTGGGCCTGGCGAGGGAACTCAGGGAAAAGCCCTGGTGGGCCACAGCTTCCACTGGTGAGCACGTGAGTCAGGCCTGGGTGTTGGTCAGGCCGGGATGACACTGGTGGCCTTCCCCCATTCCTGAGTGCTGATGCGGTTGGGCTGCTGGGAGTGGCTTCCTTCCCTTCTGTCTCCACTTTCCCCAGATATAGGAAGAAAAAGGGAGATTCGAGTCAGTTGGCTCATCTACTTTTCCCCATTCCTTGACCCTCCCCATCCTGACTGGTGGTACACATGGACATGCATCCCTCAACTATGTAAACGTCATCTACAACAAAGTAATTTTTAAAAAAATATCATGTTCCACATTAAAAAAAATCCTAAGACCTATACAAAACGATGTGAGGAGATATGGGCATGGTAAAGAAAGATACGTGGACTACTGAAAGAAAGAGCCAAAAGCTAAATTCAGCCGTCACAGCTTAGCTGGAACCCAAAAGGCAAAGGATGGACAGGACAGAAGGGACTCTAAGGTCTGAGCAGGAGTGGGATAGCGCCCCAAAGGCACAGACCCTGGTGGCAGGCCCTGGTAACAAGGACGGGCCCCACATGAAGCCATACATTCAAGCACAGATTACATGTCAAAGTGAAGATATACGCCAGAATTTCAGAACAGGACAGCTGAACGAAACACATTATTCCAAGCAGAAAGCTTTCCAGGGGGACCTTGCCCAGGGGCTGCTGAAGTGCAGCAAAGCTGACAGACCTGAGATTTGCAAAGATTAAATACAGGAGGGCCCAAGACCATCGAAACGCAGGAAACATACTAGGAAGACTGTGAGGGGAGGTCAAAGAGTATCAAAGTCGGGAAGAAATTAAAGCATTATTCTCTCTCTTTTTAAATTGGAAAGTCAGATATACAAAGAGAAGGAGAGATATCCCATCTGATGACTCACTCCCCAGGTGGCTCCAATAGCCAGAGCTGAGCCGATCCGAAGCTAGGAGCCAGGAGCCTAGAGCCTCTTCCAGGTCTCCCACATGGGTGCAGGGTCCCAAGGCTTTGGGTCGTCCTCAACTGCTTCCCAAGGCCACAGGCAGGGAGCTGGATGGGAAGCAGGGCCACTGGGATTAGAACAGGCGCCCATATGGGATCCTGACGTACACAAGGCAAGAATTTTAGCTGCTAGGCTACCGTGCCAGGCATTATTCTTAAAAAATAATTTGATGCCCAATGTTTGCTCTCTTATCCGCTAGTCACTTGATTGGTGAAATCCAGTATTTCATGCAAATTATTTTCCGGCCACTTAGCACTTCAAAAGCTACAAACTAGAAAATAAAGAGATTATCTATAGCCTCATTAGCTCTTAGGCTAATCAAACTAGTTCATCCGCAGCCTTGACAAATTTTTGGTCCTGGGAGGCAACGCCCCTCTGCAAGAAGGGCTGGGATAGAAACAAGCGTCTCGTTTTGATTTCTGTGCAATATGGTTATATTACAATTCATTTTCTTATTTTTCATGATAAAGTTGCTTAGGCTCATTCCACTTTCTCCATCCCCCTTACCCTACAATTCAGTTTCTAAAATACATACTTAATGTCTTGGTAAAGAGATAGTACATTAATTAGCATTTCACGTCTTAGAACTAGAACCCTTCATGGCTAGTGTTCTAGAATGCCTGCCAAGTATCAAAATATTGCTCCAAACATTCATACCTTGCATTAGAAGGAATCCTTTGGGACCCAGCACAATAGCTCAACTGGCTATTCCTCCACTTTCAAGCACCAGGATCCCATATAAGCACTGGTGCATGTAGGAGACCTGGAAGAAGGTCCTGGCTACTGGCTTCAGATTGGCTGCAGTCAATAACTTGGGGAGTGACCCAGTGGATGGAAGATCTGTCTCTCTCTCCTCTCTGTAAATCTGCCTTTCCAATAAAAATAAATTTTTTAAAAAAAGTTTTTTTTTAATGTGGGCCCAGGATCCCACAAGATGCTAGTTCCCAGCCAGTTCCCTGCTTGTGGCCTGAGAGAGCAGTGGAGGATGGGCCAGGTCCCTGGG